AATCACTGATACACTTTTTAATATTTACGAATTTCATTGAGTAGCCTTGATCTTATGCTAAATTTAAAAACAAGAAAGCATGTTCGGAAAAAGTGTAATAAATATTACGAAATTGGGGTGAATAATAAAATAGATAATAATGAACATAGTGCTTGATTGTATAGTATTTCTGTTTTTGATATATATATGCCTTCTAGTATGTTTAGATTTACTTGTTTTGGAATGCTGTCGTCAGGTTCGTTCTTAATAATAGAAGCTGATCGATAAAGTATTTCAAGTTTTTTATCAATAAAATCATAGGTTGATAATTATGGAGAAGTTAATGCTGTTCTTACAAAATATTTGTTGGATGCACACTGCTTGTTATCGAGGCTGTTGTATGGGCGTCCTCGACCAAATACATGAGATTTCTAAATAGTCGATATTTTAATTGCTATTTTAATGGTGTATTCCATAAATAATATATTAAAATTCTTAATATTCTGGCTAATTAATTTTTGTTTCGATGAGTTATTGCGTAACTAAATAAAGAACTGAATGTGTTGACATATTAGTATTGCTTCGAAGGATGAAATGTATCAGTAAAGGATATTAAACCAACAAAAACACTTCTAGATAGATAATTTAGTTTACATAAATTCTACATGATTTCAAAGTGTGAAAAATTTGCTAAAATTCTTCTCTTTTTCTCGATTGAACTCAAAATTATAGTTATCAACGTGAATTTAAAATTGACTCCAGGCTATCAGAGATTAGAACTATATCAAGAATTTTTTTCAAATCTGAAGAATTTGTTACTTTAGTTCCACGGTTCCGGCCATAAAAAAGCGGGAGCGCAGGGAGCGGACTTTCGTAGCGGCGAGACCATCGCCGTTTAGGCTCGTAATTCAGCAACGAGCGGAGCTCTGCGTCGGCGATAGGCCTACCCTTATAAGGATATACCCTCACATGGATATTTCCTCATATGGAACTACCCTCACATGGACCTACCCTCACATGACCTACCCTCACATGGACCTACCCTCACATGGACCTACCCTCACTTGGACCTACCCTCACTTGGACCTACCCTCACATGGACCTACCCTCACACCTACCCTCACATGAAATATCGGGAAATTGAGCTTGAAAATAAAACTTTTCTACTCGATTTTCTACTTTTCTACTCGCTCCTGATATATCCCATCAGTACTGGTTTATTTAAAATATTTGTTTATTAACAATACTTTTGTGATGTAATTTTTTTTGTATGAATGAGGATTATAATGGCTTTCTGATTTGACAATTTTTTTAAAACAACTATTTTTTGAATCGTTTTGGTTCAAATGTGATTAAATGATTCTTTCTAGGTTTGAAATATTTGAATATTTCAAAAAAACATGTTTTGAAGTAATATTACCAAATAATATTATTTATCTTGTGTTTTATCAGCCATTAAATCAAGCATATTACAATAGGAAATATTTATCTCTTTTTTATAAGGCCTGCATAGCAAAAAAACATAATCATTCGTGAAAATGTACAACAGAGTGGTAAATAAAATATGTATTGTTTGAGTTTTAATCCTAAAAGAATTCAGCGAAGACCTCATATAGTAAGAAATAATTGGCAGTTTGAGATATAATAAATGAAAAAGTCATATAGTCTACATGAAATAATTATTATAGGCATTAAGACAGGTAGAGATTGAAAAAATCGTTTGCAATTTTTTGACTGAATGAAACTCGGCTAATTTTTGTCGAAACTATAAATCAAACCATAATTTCCCATTATTTTTAATAATTCATATTCATTGGTTTGTAGCAACACGATTGTGTGGTTAGTTAATAGTGAACTGAGAAGCCCGTAATAATAATATACTGTCTTATTTACGCTGGTTAGTGAAAATCGATTTGTATCTCAATGTTTGACATTGAATTTGTTCTGGTGTTGAATAACTTGTAATAGTCTATAAATTGGGACTGAATTGGAAAATGTATTAGGAAAATATTAAATGAAATAAAATAATTAATTATTTGCAGCAATGAGGCTATAAGCAGGACGATAATTGGATATAAACTCGAGCGGTAATTTATTAATAATGTAAATTTATACAATAATAATATAAATAAAAAATAATTATCCAATTTGCAATAAAACAATTACGAAAATGACAAGAATTTGTTATAAAAATTAAAATTTTTAAAGTACTAGATTGAATTTTCTAAACCATCTGCATCTATAACAACTCTTGATCAAACTCGCATGCAGCTCTGAACATCGTTCGTCGGCACTTGAAGTTAAGGAAAAGACTGCATAAAAAATATTCTTCATGAATTGCATATTCATTAATTATTTTAAGGATCCGAGGAAACATTTAGTTAAGATAAATTATTTCATAGAAGAGCCCAAAAATTAATCCATATTCTGGTATGTTTTTTTCCTGCATTTGCTTGATAGGAAACATGCCAAATTTTTTGTTGGGAAGAGTTGAAACGGACAGTGATTATACTCCTTATTAAGGATTTTCTTCAGTGTGGGTAATTTCCACGGTATTAAAGAATATGAAGCCGTATTGAACCAATAAAAAAATGCTATTTATTCGTTGGCGAAACTAAAAGATTATTTAATGCTTTGTGCAACGTAGAAACCCATGTTCAGTAATTTTTTGTTTAAACGTAAATATACTTTCCATTCGCCAAAGAATATGCAAGTCCAGTAAATTGAAGACCAGCTTTGCTCACTGCGTGCGCCTCACTCAGGCTTCTCTTAATAGAAAATATGACGCTGTTGCTGCCGGCAAAATAACACGAGCGAAAATTTGATTCAATTTTCGGCGAGCAATTAAAGTAAGAGTGTTTGAGAGCGAACAAAGCGCACCTGCCAAATAAAGCCTTAATTACCAGGCCTCGCATGTTTCCCAGCCTGTCCGCTCGAGCTTAATTCCGTAAATTATTAATTTCTGCTTTGTGAAGGAATTTTGCGGGGTGGTTTTGGGTTTGATAGGCCAGTTTTATTTACTCTGAAAATGAGAGGAGTGTGAAAATTTTGAGAATGAGAGTTAATTACTAACGAATGATTTTTCAGTGTAGATCGTGGTTGGAAAGTCGTTGTCTGTTTACATAGAAATGAATGAATGAATCCTGAAAGCTGGTGATTTACTCCAACTTCAAGAATGATGAATAGATTTACAAGATTTTTATTTAACACCGCTCGACATTAAACCAATGTTGCAATGTCTTTCATGCATCTGCCTTCTTCAAATGATACATGGAGCTGCACTTGTTTGAGAATTCCTGTAGCTTCAAACATAATTCGGAGATGCGTGAAAATTTCAGGTGTTGGGGCGAACAAGAAGTTAGCGGAGGCCTCTGCAGCGACCCGCTCCTACGTCTGGCAGCGACTCGCTCCTACGTCTGGCAGCGCCCGGTAGGCTGCGCACGCAGCCCAGCTCCATTTTCTCGCTCCTCCCAATTTTTTGGACACCACTCACGACCACGCTTGCATTTTGCCACTCAAATTACGACTTTCCTTAGGTCTTTGTGCGTTGTTTTTGTCTCCTCATGAATGAAGGTGCGTCTTAAATTTGGTTGCTGTCGTGCCAGCCGACACAGCGAGCTAAAAACTTCACGAATAACGGAGATATTCTGCTTTTTGAAGATGCCAGTATGAAAATCCTAAAATTCTTCTGATTTGGTATGCGCATGCGCAGTGGTAATGAGTCTCATTCTTGCGAGGATGCTGCCACACACGTGTTGTGTCCCAGTTTAAGGAAGCAGCTGTCTTTATTTTCTTCAACTTATATTAACTGCTTCTTCAACTTTATTTCAACATTACACATGTTGTTAGACTTATACCAATCTGTTCTTGGAAAAATACAAATACTTATAGTGCGTTTCAATGCTCAAGATGCGTTCACTTACCTATTTCACTTCTCAGTCGGCTCATATAAACGCTTGTAAACGTTTCCTATTAATTAAGAACAATTAAAAACCTACTGGAAAAATATGTTTTTTTTTCATCTCATACCCGAATTAGATTTTTTCGATTTACATTAAACCTTTTAATCATTAAAAATTGCAACGTTAATAAAATGGTTATGAAAAAAGACAATTTCATTACGTGAAATGTAACAATGAGCGAACAATCCATTCGCTATTTATGCGGATCTAAACGAATTTCATATTACATCGCACCCGCACGAGAAAACTATGCATTTAAAATATTTTAACAAAAAATAAGCTGAAACTCTTCAGAGAAACATTACCGGTGGCTATACGGAGGAAATTCAAACCCCAGCTAGACTTTTCAAATTGGATCAAAACATACTGTACGGATGATTGAGTATTCTATAGAAGCCTTGTTTTGATTCACGTTCTACATTTACATCACTCAAATTCCAAAGTTACATGAAGTTTTAACTGCGCAATGTGTGAAATTACGGTACATTTGCTGAGCTCTGCATAGAAAAGAGCTCTGTTTGAAAATAAGGCTGCGTGTGCTTATGAGCCCATGGAACAAACACTGTACGCTAGCAGCGAATTAAAGCCTTCCATGGTATTGCTATATATAGCCATATTACATAATTGAGGGACTTCTTAAGAACTTTCTAACTTGAGAGCTCATATATAGCGTCATTTGACTGGAGTAAATATATTATCGAAGTGTTCCTATTCACAGTACTTCAAAGTCCAATAATACAGTTTTAAAACACAAAAAACGCAACTTGAGAACGATGGGAGAAGTATCGCTGATTATGAGAATGTTCTTATGAGAATAATGTTCTTTAAGAATAATAATTCATCGTATATAAAAATGAATAATATTGAGTGAATAATAAAAATGAAACTCATGAACTTATCCAAGTTTCAGCAAAGTATCGACGATGCAGAGGTAGTATTCTTGAAGCCTCGCAAAGCATCGTATAAATTTAGGAAGAACACTCGGCGCTCCCCGAACGCCTTGCATCGATCGCAGGAGAGGACGAGGCGCCTGTTTTGAGAGGCCTGCTTTGCGCGAGAGTGTACCGGGCCTCTTGGGGCCGTTTGGGCCCACACAAATCCAGGTGAACCAGATACCCTGTCAGAAAATTTAATGAAGTCAGGGTTTATCTCTGAATTAGAATAGAAACTTTAGGAAATTAGGTATTCTATGCTGTTTATCAATGGAATTTAATGAAATCAAGGGTTGGGATTGGCAGAGGAATTTGTTGAAATCCACCTTTACCACCAATAATGAAAAATTTTTACAAGTTAGTATTTACTTCGTCGTTAGAGAATAAAGTTATTTAAGTAAGAATCTGTTACCTAATTGGCAAAGAAAAAAATTTAATGAAATAAATGTTTTTTTTTGGGTATGAAAGAAATGTGATGAAATTAAGTTACTGAAATAATAATTTGTTAATTGGTAAAGAAAAAACGTAATGAAAAAATTATTTATTTATCTCGGCCGTGGAAATTTAATCCCCGGAAACTAAATATACGGAAAATATATAGATATTAATTATATTTTATTTAGGTACGAGGAAAGGAATCAGGCTGAATAGAACCAAATCGGAAGTATAATACGACAAATTGATATGAATTCATAGAAAGACAATAATAAACATCCAATGAGATTTACTTATAAGTGCCAAGTTACTTAAGCGAAATGAGGCTATATGTCAAGCTATTTAAGTTGGATGATTGAAGAACGAACGGAAGTAAAAGCATTTTACTTGCTCGTTTCTTAACGAATTTACAATACGTTCTACAAACAACAGTCGACATTCATATTAAATAAAAGCATTCTGCAGTGCAGAAACTCTGTTTGTAATATCTTAACTGTTTGATAAATAATTTCATTAATTTGGTTAGTGATGAATTTAAATTAAATTTAGTTTCATTGGAACCTTATAGGTAGGATGATACAGACAGAATCTTGTATTAGTTCATTCAAGAGTAGAATATTTCTACGGTATTTAGTTGAAAACTAAAACAACAAAGTACAAGGTTAGAATTATAGAATTTTCGTAGCTTAATAAACTTGAAAAAAATTCTGATTGAAAATATGGGAAGCGATCCCCTGCTAATCACGCTTCTATCAATAAAGGAATTGCCACAATGGAACAGTAATACCATTAACCCCTCTAGACTATTAGAAATCTAGGGCACGAAATTATTCTTGACGCTGTTCTTAAACCTCTTTATTTCAGAATAAATTCCTTTTGATTGTGATAATCACTAGATTTATTTACCTATCGCGTTCAATTACCAATCACTGACGGCATGTAGTTGTTTCTTCTCCGTATAAAGCCATTTTACTGAGCCTGAAAAAAAGATAATACGTTACACGGAGTAGTCAAAGAACACATCAATAAAGACCAAAATTTCTAGCTGAAAGTGTTTCTCCTTTTAACTAATAGTACAAGCAATTGAATGTGGTAAAAATGAAAAAAATTCACAAATTAACTGTAGTCATGATCAAAATAGCAATTTATTTGTGGCAGCTGGAATTCAATATCAACATTAACATTGTGGTAAAAATGTTTCAGGAGCTCATTTAGTGAAGAAGTGGGGACGAGTCTTGGAAATCCTTCTTGATTCTAAGTTCATGATATCGTGGGTTCATAAAAAAAACTCGGTTTGTTTCAATCCGATTAAGGGCATGAAATTTCTCCTGCTGCTGTGCCGGCGTTACTGAAAGAAAATTGATGCGTGTGCTCGAGCTTATACGTGTTCTGGGAGTGCGACGTCCGAAATACATGCTATGGATACTACCACATCTTTCTCAAGAAGGCAAGAGCATGGCAAGGTTCCGATAAATATTCTTTGTTACTAACAGAGGAATGTCCTTTAGAGGCTGCAAACTTGCCAATAGCACGGTGTTACTACAGTTCCGTTAAATATTACTTGCCACTAACAGAGGAATGTGTCATAAAGATTGCAGGACCGCCACAGGTATGATGCTCTAGCAGTTCCGTTAAATATTCCTTGCCACTAACAGAGGAATTTTACATGCAGGCTGCCGACTTGCCACAAGTAGGATATTACTGCAGTTCCGTAAAATATTCCTTGCCACTAATAATGGAATGTCCTTTAAAGGCTATACAGACTCGCCGCAAGTATATGATGCTTCTGTTGTAGCCGCTGCCGCAAGCCCACGAATAATGAAATCTCCTCCAGCAAAACAAATCCCTTCGAGCGCCAAACAAGATATATGAATACAAAATAAACTGGCCACTTGCCGACCTAATTAAACCGGCTGTGCGGCCAGCAAAACACTGCCTCATTTCCCCCTCAAGTTGGCTGCACGAGCCATAGCTACCGAGTCCTGAGTGGCGGAATGCATCGGCTGGGTGGTGGTATTTCAATCGCACTTTCTTGGATTGCTTTAAAATATATAGCGAGCAGGTTGTGTAGCGAAACTAAGTCCGAGACATTTCTCCATTTCAGCGCTCAAACGACTGGCACTAAAGCCCAGGCTCTCTCTTTCCCGCTCTCTCCTTCTCCCTCGGTGCCAGCGATGTACCAAATATTGATGGTTCGCGGCTGAACCTCTTTCGAGATCCCAGTCGTTTTTCAAGCCGCGCTTTGGGGCGAGACATGAGACAGGCGGGCTGTAATAAGAAACCTATAACTTTGATCACATCTCACTTAAGCAATTGATTATCGGGCCATATTTAGAAATTTTTTCTTATGCCATTTCATCACTTGAATATTTTTCAATTTAAATATTTTGTCGTTTATATGATGTCGTCATTGTTTCGTACCTCAAATAATGCTGATAATAATGGCGACATCCGAGGGCACGCGATGAAATTGTTCTTAAACCATTGTGATGCGATTGCAACTACAAAGATTGTAATATTTTATTTATATCTGAACTATTCAATTTATTTTATTTTTCATATTTATTAAAAACGCTTGATAAGTGGTAATAACCATAACGATTATTTTACATTATTTTACACAATTCATTGCATAAACGAAAATGTTCCATGCCTTCCCTACTCACAAACAATAAATTCGTGGAATTTATTTAAATGTTTTGCAACATCGGCGTCGCCAGTCTCTTCCTAAGCGCATTTCGGTGTCGTCACCAAGACGAGAGAAGAAGACGTGAATTTCTAAACCTGCTCGATCAGACGCATGACTTTGCGAGTCCATCTCCCGAACATTGAATATCGAAGTCTACCCATTAAATTTTACACACAGAACTTAACAAACAGACAAACTTTCAACAGATAACCTGTTCTGAAATGAAATGAATCGAAATGAGTTTTATTTTATGGTTAAAATTTGGTTCACTTGTTATCCTCGCAGATGTTGTGAACCATAGCATTATGTAATAAAGAAAGCCGAGAGAAGAATTTTATTGTCTGTAAGACATTCAGTGCTCGCCAGTATCCCGCTCATATTTGTTTGTTTTAATCCATTTTCTATGCGAAAATAAATTAAAAAGGAAATTTGTTGTTGATACCACCTAAATCAATTTCTGCATTCCAAAGTTATCTGAAGAAAAGGCCGATAAAGCTGGTCTACATTTGACGTTAGCGCAAAAATTTCTATGCGTACGTACATTCTTTTAAAAAGTAATTTTCAAATTTTCGACAAGCTGACGAGGCAACTTTTTTTTTTTTGGAAATTGAGTGAGTGCTTGGCATGACCTGCAATCCTTGAACATGAAGTAAAATCGTTGTTACATGTAGTGTTAAATGAGGTAATTTCAAATATTTTCAAAAAATTGTGGAATAGCACGTCATCATTTTATCGCTCCACTAGGAATTTGGACACTAAGACCAAGAAGTGAAGTCAAGATCAGATTACAGACGCTGCAAGAAATAGGCTGTTTCTAGAAGGACATTGCTGTAATTGCAACAGCAATGGTCTCTAAGATTTCCATTTGTTGGATTTATTGCCAGTGTCTCGATCCAAAGAAGACTCGAAAGCGCCATCTCGAGACGATGGCTCCCGAGACCGCGGCCATCAGGCCTCAATTCGGACCAGAGTCCCGACAAAAATGCCCTTAATTCAATAGATGGAATCCTAAAGTTGGAAATCAGGAGGCTATTAGCGTGCTTCAGAAAGCCATTTGTCCGGCAGCTTTGGGACCCACAATTGTAGGAAAGTAGGCCTTGAAAAGCGACGGCTTCTCCAGACGCTTTTCTTGGCCGTCTCCCCGGAGTGGCGTAGCGCAGCATCCAATTTTCTTAACTCATTTCGCTTTGTAATGGCCGACACTTAGAGCCAAATGACGGGGGCGAGGGGAAGGATCGTCAGGAACTTCCTATCTCATGGGGATTACTTAAGAACCTCGTACATTCTGTCTGCAATGAAAAATATATTCATGCATCGGATAGCAATTTCTACTCACTGTATTGCCATCTAGAATGATTAATGGGATAGCACCCAGTTATAGGATTGCATGGAATGTTTTGGCAATAGACATGTTGGAATCAACGTAGCTCTCAGAAACTGACTTTCAAGAAGATGGTTCCTGATAGTTCTGACGAATAAAATATTTATGTTCAAATACTAATTAATGGAAGTAGGAGCATTTTACTTGATCGTTTTCAACGAATTTACGGAATTTTTAAACAAAAACCGACATTCATATAAAAAAAAACAGTTTGTAGTGCAGAAAACTAACAATGAATAACGATGTGGGCAATATATTTTAAATTTGCTCAAAATGGATTCAATATCCAATGAAATTCGAGGAAATAAATCAGGCTAAATAAAACCAAATCGGAAGTATAATACGACAAATTAATATGGATGAATAAAATGATATATTAATAAACATCCAACGATATTTACTTAAAAATGTTAAGTTATTTAAGCAAAATGAGGCTATGTAAGGCTATTTAAGTTGGAGAATTGAACAACGTAGCGGTGTGGTCGCAGGGCAGAACTTGACTCGTGCAGAAAAGGGTCCCATAAATCCAAAGAAGCTTCGCATGCGCAAGAGGCGCAGTAAGAAGAGGAGCGAGGCACTGCAATAATAACGGGCGTCGTGAGCCTCCCAGGCCCACTTAAAGGAGGGCAAAGAGATCTATGGCCTCATTTGAATGAGCTCGCTTTTCTCTGCTGCTGCGGCCTCGGCTGCTGCTGCTGCTGCGGTCCTGGCTGCTGCTGCTGCGGTCCTGGCTGCTGCTGCTTTAGCCCCAGCTGCTGTTGCTGCTAGTGCATATTTTGGTGATGCATTTCTATGCCTGCTAATGTTGTTCTGGCGCTGATTAAGCAGCAACTCCAGCTACTTTTTGTGCAGTTGCTGCTACTTCTAAAACGTAAATAATCCAGATCTTGCTGGTGCTGTTTAAGCTGCTGCATCTGTTGCTGTTACGACGATTTTTTCGTCTATTTGTTTCACAACTGCTTCAACTCGTTTTGTTTCAAAAACAGATATTTCATGCTATTGCTGCAGAATTATATCGAAGCCCGAAAAATATCCAAGTCTGTTTCACCGAAAAGTAATGAATTAGCCTCGGTGTATTTTAACACCATCAATTACCGAATCATTTCTGCATATTCTAATCACTTCAATAAAAAATCCCCTTTCATGACTCTATATTTTTTCAATGATCAGTGAATTGAAAAAATTATTACAAAATTACTTAATTAGAAACAGTACCGTAAATTCGAAACGACAGTCGTATAAATTTAAAGAGCATAGCCACTCCGGACAGCAATTTATTTGAAACTACACATGGCTGTCGCAGAATTGTCACACCATTGTCCTGCGATTTCTCAGAGGCAATGATGGCCGCGATCTCGCCGCAAAAAAGCACCTGCCAAGTATGCTTATATCGCCACCGTCAGCTTCAGAACCCGTCCAATATTGGCTCTTTTACGCTCCGTGACTCGCGAATTAATAGTCGAGGCGGCGGCCGCGCATCCTTCGTTACAGCAACTTTTGAATGGGACCAAAATTTCTGCGGCTCACGAGCACCATTGCCGAATGCATTTGCATAGTTCAGAGGCTTCTTCTCATTCACCGCGTCGCCAAGTTTCCAAATGAAAATACCTGAGCCTAGCGTACACTCAAGTCTTATCGAGCCGGCAGTCGGCTTGGGTATCTCGAATATTTGGATTTTTGTCAAAAGGAAAATTGTAATCTCTTAAAAATATTTTAAAAGTTTGTAGTTGGTTTGATATTTTTGTTGTTGAGAGTGCGTGGTGTTAACTGTACATTTCATAGTAAATGGTAATACGTATTTAAATAACACTAATTGAATTTGTACCTGTTTAAACCATTTCATAAATTAAGACATTTCTTTAATATAAGCATAAATACAAAGTGAATTGAAAAAAAGACCCAATGAACACACAAAGGTCACAAAATTCCGAGCATAATACCCAATTTTCCCTCGCGCGTTTAAAGCTTTGTTTTCAAAGCGGAAAGCTTTCCTGCTCCAAGACAGACACTCGTGCTAGTATATCAGCGCTTCCAGACGAGCGCGTCTCGTGTGCCACGCAAGACGAGCAAAACCAAACAATTTATCAGTATCGAATTTTGCTTACTGATACAAATAGCGATGCTTTAACCGCCATCAGTGTTATTCCTACCTATAGAAGTAGTAGCTAGAATATTAGCCTGCGTAAACTTAGGGTAAAATGCGGCCATCGAGACCCCCATGCAAGTCAGCGTCTCTTGATGCCCTGATGAGGCGTCAAGTTTATGCACGAGTTTATCTTTTAGGATAAGCTCTTCATAGCTCCGACTTGGTTTACTAATGACAAATTTTTCCCATTTGAATGAAGGATTAAGTCGGTATAAGCAGCGATGTATGGGCGGTCATAACAATCAATTGCTTCTTGGTATTAGAGATCGTAAAATTAATCATTTTAAGGCGGTAGGTGTTTCGACTAAAAATGGAAATCTCATATTGCTGATTCGATGCAATAATTGTTATATGATTCACAAATTATGTTTTTAAAATGGTGGTAATTTCTTGCGAAAGGTTGAAGATATTCTTCAAAATTTGGGCATTAATAATGAGATGAATTCAGTGAAAGTCTTCGCAAATAACGCAGAAAAATAACTATAGCGCGACAAGAATGCTACTTTATTTACCTGCACTCACTCACTGTCCTGATGTAGTTTATGCATGAACTCACCTTTAGTCTCTTTGAAATTCGATGGCAGTTGCCAGTGTTGGTCGCGAAGGTATAGTTCCCCTCGGCACCTCCCCTCACATGGAGACCGAGGGCAGGCCTCGCTGCGAGTTTACGACCGTCTTCCATTTTATTGAACTCCCTCGGCTTTTCTGCGTGCACTTCATTCTCTTCTTCCGCTTCTTTTGAAATTCTTGGAATATTTTGTCCTGCATTATGCAATTGAAAAGAGTTTACATGAATATTTCATACGTTGTCTCGTGAAATTAAATGATTGAGGAATGAAGTATGTTACAAAAAAAATTACGATAAACATTTAGGAATATACGGGACATTCATAACAATGCATTTTGTCATATTTTTTAAAGAAAACTTTATAAAAAATTCTTTTACAATTAGGAGTGAGCAATGGTGAACTCAAACTTCACGTTCAAAATGAACACGATAATTTTTAATATCGGAAAAATTATTTCGTAGTTCTGACAATAGCCAATCTTTCTATATATTGGCGTTACCGCATGCTATTAAATCAGCCAAGATGTTATTGAGTCGCCAAGAGTCAGCCAAGAGTTTTTGAGTCGCCAAGAGTCAGCCAAGAGTTTTTGAGTTGAGTACAAGCGATTTAATAAGTCGTGAGTGCTTGGCAAGTACGGGAGAAAATTGTGAGCTAAATTGAGTTGGTGGTTAGTTTTGCAGCAGCAGTTTTGCTGGGCACATCTTTGAGGTTGTAGAGGCAGCATCTGGAGCACTTCCAAGGCTAAAGTAAGGGAGCTAACACGTCAAAAATGACGCACTGAAGCCCTCTAATTGTGTTTGGCGGAGGAGAGTAAAGGTTTTTGTTCCCTGTCAGGCCTCTTAAATGGATTGGCTCAAAGCCTCGCAAAGAACAAAACTTCATGAAAGTTTGGACAAGCGTGAAGAAAAAAAGATACCCGCGGCTAGCGAGGCCTGCGTGTGGAATAATATAGGGCGGGTATGTTACACTGGACAGGTATAATGTGAACAATGATTAAGGTTGTTACGTATTCAGTACACAATCGATTCAAATGAGGTATGAAGAATGTATAAATGTGTAAATAAGAATAGGTATGAAGAATGTATAAATAAGAATGTAGAAGTATAAAACTTTTGTTTTTCCTAAAAATGACGCAGTATATTTCACGGAAATAAAAGTTGATTCAGATGCGAAAATTTCGTGGGTAGAGCAAATCGACAATTTCGCGGCGTTTGTTTGCTGGACAAATGCCATGAAATTTTATAGTTAAAGAGAAGGATGAACTGAACGACGAGAGGATGATCTTAACGATGGGTGGATAAAATTAAGCGAGATTGTAACTAATAAACAATTAACATTTTCTGCAGTTATTTTTACTATTTTTTTCTAAATACAGGATTATCAAAATAATTTCCCGATAACTAGGTGCCTACAGCTGATAAAATCCACCCTAAAACTATATAACGAATGCCTGTGAGCATAATTTTAAATACTATATATGAATTGTATTTGAATTTGGTGTATGCGCAACTTGATCGATTGGGATATTAATTGAAATTAGTTTAAGGTGGTTTGGAGAATCTCTGTATCTTGTTTGGAGTAGAGAAGTTACTACATACGAAAATTGGCAGTCTAATGGCAACCACCAAAAGCTTAAAATTGCAAACAAAAGTGGATCTATTTTCCCGAGTTTACAATTGAATTTAAAAAAACTTCTTGATTTTGCAAATCGGAATAAACAACGTCAGTTACGCAGCTCCAGACAGAAGTCTCTGCATATTTCCCCGACTTTAAAATTGAATTTAAAACCACTTCTTTATTATGCAAATTGGAATAAACAACGTCAGTTACGCAGCTCCAGACAGAAGTCTTTGCACTAACAAAATCCAATAAATGCAGGCGGCGTGCGTGCTCCAGGAAGAAGGTGCTGCGCGCCGCTGTTTTGCGCGCCATAAAACAGCGTCTTGAGCAAACGCAGCGCATCTGAGCAGCAGCGCCTGCAGTATAAACATGCTCAGGGTCTGCACACAGTGTAAATCTCAGCCTCTCCTTGGTGTGGAGAGGTGGGGTGAAGGAGAGGTTGAAGTGGTGCAGGAGGGGTTGAAGGAGTGGAGGTGCAGGAGGGGTTGAAGGAGTGGGGTGCGGAAGGGTTGAAGGAGTGGAGGTGCAGGAGGGGTTGAAGAAGTGGAGGTGCAGGAAGGGTTGAAGGAGTGGAGGTGCAGGAGGGGTTGAAGGAGTGGAGAGCCTGCCGGAGGGGTGAAACGGGTTTATGCTTTCGTGGTGGGATGTAAAACTTGGAAATAATTGTAAAAAATTATGAAACTTGGATGCCAAAACAGGATCATTTGAGAAAGTTTCGAAAATGAAGAGGAAAACTGAATTCCGCTATGGTAATTGAGAAATGAAACGTAATCAACTTGAGATGAGTTAAGTTCAACAAGAAGATGCAGCTTTGCGAAATGAGGAAGGGAGGGAGAGTGAGACTTACTTGAAAATCAAAATAGAACTTTATAGTTGGTTAGTTAAGATTTATGCACAAAAACCTAAAAATTTCAATTTTTCTCACATTAAAAATCATAAAAAGTAGGAAGTGCAAATAAGACTTCCGGTGAACGGACTTAAATCCATAACATTAACATTTGAAGTTAAAAATTAACGACGGTATTTGGCAGAAGGAAATTCTCAAGTCGCCTTTCCCCGTTTTCGCATGTGTTAAAAAACACAAATAACTTGAAAACACTACAACATTTAATTTAAGACAAGGAACAACATAAGATAACGATGCAAAAACAAGGCAAAGAGATAAGCTCATAAAATAGCGGAATGTCTAATAATGTAACTGAGACAACGAAACCAGGGAAAGGGAGGTCGGGAGGGAAGGAGGGGAGAGAGGGAAGGAGGGGAGGGGTCGGGCCCTCATTGAGGGTCTGGCTTGGGGTTGGTGTGGGGTTTTATGACAGCCATTGCAGGAGGAAAGATATTGCTGGGATTTGCTGGGATCTGTGAGTGCGATTTACGATGAACGAGCCTCCCAGCCTCGCAAGAGCCTTGAAAAACGGCACAGGAATTCGCCGTGTGTGAATGGCTGATAGGCAGAAAATAATAGCGGGTATGAGTGTAGTAAAAGTAAGCAGGAATCCATTTGCAGGAAAAAATATTCAAGTTTAAAGATTTTAAAAAATGAAATTTCCAATTTCCATTTGAATTTTTCCTTGTGTACTCGTTGAATTAATGATTTAGTTCGATTGTCGGGCCAATTATTAACTGCTGCTTATGAAAATGATTTGCATTTATGCTTTGCGCTCAATTTATTGGCGTTCTGAGTCTCGCTGTGGATAAAAAAATCAGTAAATGACATACAACACAACTTAAGTATTATGGTAAGAGATATGGAGATATATAATATAATTTTTCGGCAGGCGAAAGTATTATTATTACAAAACGCAAGTATTAACACAAACACAACTCAAGTATTATGGTAAGAGATGTGGAGACATTTAATATAATTTTTTCGGCAGGCGATTCTAATTTTTTACTAACTACACAATTTTTTGCGGCTAGCATATTTACTTCAGGGCTTGCAAAGGTGGGAACCTTGCATATATATAGCATCTGCAAGAGTACTGAAAATATATTATAAATGTTAAGAATGGGAGCTGCCTTTAAAATTAAATAACGATTATTCGGTTGCAAAAATTTAATAAATGGAAAACAAATAAGTTAGGCAATTAAGATAACGCATAGGAGGTGCTATTTATTTATTACAGTTCAGTTTTGATGTCAGAAGTTATTTTGAAAATAGAATTAGAATTAGAATTGAAAATAGAATTGAATTGAATTATTGAATTATTCAATTCTATTATTGTTAGAATTGAAAATAGAATATGTAATGGTTTCGAGGTCCCCTCTCGCGGTGGAGAAAAGGCAAATTGATAAGGATAAATGAGTTAAAAATAATAATGCAAATAACCTTTGATCTATACGAAGAGAATAAATCGTCTTTCAAAAAATGTTTATGAATCTGCAGGAAATAACTGTAAAAACGACAATTTCTATTATTGTTTGTTCATATACGCGATAAAATCTCCGACAGAGTTAATAAAATGTTTATATTTAAATCCGCAGAGTTTGCTGTTCTCCATTAAATAATTCATGCCGTTATTTCTCAGTAACTGTCCACTAATTTTTATTTAATGTGTACCCGAATTTTAGAACGAGACCAGGTTAGTTTGTAACGCCAAATAATATCATTTAGTTGTACATCAGATGAAATTTTACTCAGAGTAGATCAGGTGAAAAAAGCGCCATTAGGTTTAAGAAAATTTGTATAAATGATAGTGCGTTGAATTATAAATTACTATAAATAAAAATATTGAAATATATTTACTTATAAGAATTTATCACAAATAAATTATAATTAATAAAAGTATAAATTATAAATTATTAGCAAGCGAGTTCTTTTAGAGACCAAAAGCTCAAAAAATATAACTTGGTACTCACTGCAGTGAGTGACAGAGAGCGCATTTTCTCGTCGACGAAAACGTGAAGTCACGGACGGACAGACAGATGGACAGACGGACATGACGAGCACAATAGTGCATAAAACGTGAAGTCACGGACGGACAGACAGACGGACAGACGGACATGGCGAGCACAATAGTGCATTTTTTCATAAATGAGAAAATGCGCTAAAAATCAGCGCAGGAGCTAAACGTTGGGACTCCTTCAGAGGTCTTGCAGCGCTGGGGCGCAAAGTGGTGCGGCTTAGCGCGACTTTGCTGCCGAGAATTGCTAAACATGCTTTGGGCGCGTGTACGTGACGGGCATACTCTTGTAAAGTCCTCGCGCCGACGCCTTGCTAAATGCGGCCAGGTTATGCTCAGTAATCTCGCGCACTTGTTCAAACTTCACCAAGTTTCACGACCAGCAGCTTGCGACAGTACGTGACTCTGCGTACAAAATTGTTGCTGCGTCGCATTTTGATCGTGCAAGAAACATTTCGAAGAATTTTTTTCGGACTTGGATTGATAACTGTAATTTGGTTTCATAAAGAAAAATCACTCGCAAGCGAAAAGGCTTAATTCATTGAATATAAGCGGAAAAAAATTCTAGTAGAAACAATCAATATGCAATTACTATACTTAATGCTTTCTTGCGTACATATTGCATGGGACGCGGAGCTAATTCATGTGCTCTAA